GATTGGCACTCAAGTTTTTCAACAATATTCTATTATATTTTTTTCTTTGGCACATAATCTTTCATAAAATCTTATAAATTAAAACTATCCAATTTTAGTTCCAATGTATTAACTTCATTAATTGTGGAATTATTTATCCAATCAGCAATAGCATGATCAAAATTTGCTATATCCTCCAGATATACTAAATATTCTCCTAATCCTCTAGATTAGATTAACATGTCTTATTGTTGCACGTAAAGTGGATTATCACTAACTTCCATTTCATTGATAACTTCATTATATTTTGCATCAAATTGATCTTCATCATCAGATGTTGCCTCTGAATCGAGAATTTGAGATTCTCCATGATATTGAACTGGATACATTTATAACACAATCTTAACTTTTTCTTTCTCAATAGTCAACATTTCACGGCCCCAATCATTCTTAACTTTGGCTTGATACAACTACGGTCAACCTAATAAGATTCGATAGGATAATATGGAATTCTATAATTAAAAAATAACATAATCAATCTTGTATATGATTTCAGCAATTACAATGTCAATACTGTATAAGTTATCTATTGGTTTTACCCGACTATGATCTACCATTCTCAATATCAATGTCATGGATAATAATTGTTTTAAGTCTAAGCCCTCTATTATATCGGTATTCATTAGATTCTCCCTAGAGCCACCATCCACTTGAACTCCAAAAATAAGAATACCATCAATGAATACATCAATAGTTGATGCTTTTGGATCGGGATTTAAACTAAATTCACAAATTTTTCTATTATGGGACCTATGTCTTATTAATGAAGAATTCAATGTGGAATGACATTCCAGGGCTACCGCCAAAAGTTGCATCATTGTAATATAGGGCTAAATTTTATCCAAATCTTTCAAAATATCATATGGTTCCATATTGGTAGTGATTCCCAAGGTTTTTTTTTTTTTTTTTTTTTTTTTTCATGGATTTCAACTTAATTCCTTGAGATAATGTATTTTTTTTTACCAAATTCGGATGTGGAATAGCTAAATGAACTTTTTTAGGATGTTTGTTTATAAAAAGTTCTTTTATTATATAAGATGGCTCTTGAAACTTCTTAGATAATGGTATTGGTTTAAGTTGAACCAATACTTTGGTATTAGGAATATCATTGAATTGCATAGACGAACCAAGTCCCATTGTTGGTAATATTTTTGGTACAGGTATTGGATTTGGAGTTCCTATAATTGGTATGAAGTGGTTCTTCACAATTAATACATCCAATTGTTGAATTGGATCTTCTTGTTTTTTTTTATGACCCCACATAAGCACTGCGTTAACCATCTCAACTTGATGTACTAGGGATTCTTGTTGAACACAATCTTTATCATTTGATTGCTGGCTCGATTGCATCTTCTAATCTCGGTTATTGAAATTAAATGGAGCATTACACTGTTGATATATATATCATGACTACTTACAATTTCTACATACTAGAGCATATTTGGCATTCGCTCTTGGATTGAGACATTCACTAGAATAATGTCCTATTTACTTGTGATAATAACATCAAAGTGGTCTTCTTTCAATTCCATCAAAAATTTTAGGTATTTCTATTGGCATATATCGACTAGGCCTGTTCCAGGTTGGATGGATAAATGATCCCGATTGTCTAGTTAGAACTATAGAATCTGAAATTGATTTCTGAATGCGTAGATATTGAGAATATGATTGCACTGCTTCTTTTGATATCATTCTACTATTCAATAATCTTTTTTTGAGACGTTCTTCAAATTCAATTGGTCGAAAATGAGTTAAAGACTCATTTTTCAATACCTCCTAATTAGGAAATTGGCCCATAGGTTGGCAATTATACCATTCAAATGTTGTATCTTTCAAGGTTACTGGCAACCACCTCAATCAAATATCTTCTATTCTACCATTATTGGCTATACATGCAGTCAAGAACTAAGATAAATATTAATCTAAATTTAGACCTGGCAAACCTCTAAAAGTAGACAATAGAGCTATACTAGTTGTGCGATCATCCTTCGCATCGATTTGAACTACAATTAGAACTACTAGGTCTCTTGTTACCATTGAAGATGTTAATGTTCCACTTAATTGCTTATTAAAATAAACACTATCTTCTCCAATTATTATTTTTGTAGTTTTTAGCTTCTTCAATTTATTATTATTATTTACAAATAATTTTATTAGTTGAATTGGAGGTATAAACGATGAATTTTAAAATATTCTAAATTAGCCCTTATTGGCAAGTAATTTATGCCATTCTAAATAACCAATCTTGCTTGAATTGGCTATACCTGCTATTAAAAAAGTATCCAATAGAGTATCCAATCTTTCTATGTCTCTTTTACTTTCAGTTAATGAGCTTAAGAGATACACTAGATTACCAATAAAATTTCTCGTAAGTGCTCTTGGCAATTATCTTAATAGTATATATGACTGAAATATTAATGGTCTTTCAGGTTCTTGGTATGCTTGGATATGCCGATAGGCATGCAACCATGGTTTAATCCAACTCTGTCGATGCTTCTTTTTTAGATTATGTTCTTACTTCTCCCACAATAAATTTCTTGCTTGCGCTGTCTCGTGTCTTCCTTTCAACTTGCATGTTTGTCTTAGTGTAATGTTTTCATTCTTATAAATCATAATATTTCATCTTATAATACTAAAATTACTTTCCATCTCCAATCTAACTACACATTTGGCTTTACTTTTGAACCAACATGAATTTTATAACAGCTTTGTACGACATCCAGAAGTACGTGTTTGGTAATTAATTCTTAATACTCTATTATTGTCAATTCTTTGGTAGTGGCACCAAAATATAATTATTGTTTTACTTACTCTAGACTAATCTAATCTGAATAAACTTATACAAAGGGATTCAAACATGGAGAAAGACTATCTGCATGAGTTTTCACATTAGGGTCACATAATTAATTGTCTCTTTATCAACTAAAACAACCAAGAAAGCTACAATGCCTCCCACATTCTATCAAATAAAATATTATAATCTATAATTCTTTATTATATATTCACTGTCTCTTCTCCTCTCCTAACTTATGACAACAATAGGTAATACTACACTATCTTAAAAGACTATATAAAATATTTCCTACTCAATCATTGAAATTCTCCAAAACTAATTGTCATTCCTAGTAATCTTCTTCACACAATTCTAGACTCCACAATCTTCTTCTTGGCATCCTTTCAATTCTCAAAAATCAATGTATCATAATTCTTCCAGTTATATCCATATTTCACAAACATCTTCCATTATCAACTTTCCAATCTTCTACTTATAATTCACCATATAATAAATTCAATTTCTCATTTAACATCATGTAAATCAAATCTTTCTTTCATTCTAGAATTTCACTTCACATTATTCAAATTCTATCCATTATTCTTCTTCTACACAGAAAACAAAGAAACAAAGAGGTAGAACCAAGCTTACCCTAGCTTATGGGTTTCATAGTCTGGCCCCATCTACTTTGTCTTCAAACTACTTATGCTTTCCTTGAAATGCCAACTACTATATAACCAATGATAACTATTTTTTTTGACCACATCATCCCTCCTACCTTCTAAACCATCCATTCATCAGTTTACTAGCTTCTCTTAATCTTACATACTATGTATTGTAAAACAAAAAATATCCTATCCATTGTACACATATATTTATACACAATTATATATGTAGAGTAAGATAAAAATTTAGACTAAAAAATATACTAAAATATAAATAATTTTACAATCTTAAATAATTTTATTTTATAGTTTTTATCAAAATAATAGAAAGATGTTTCTAATATTATAATTTTTATTAGTATAAAAATTGGATAAAATTTCTTTTTAAAAATTAAATATATTTTATAATTTAAATTTTAGAAATTATATCATTTAAATAGAAATTTAGTATAAAAGACCATTAGTAAATCATTCTTTTATTTATAATTAAATTATTAATAAAATTTATTTAAAAATAAAATTTATGAGTAATTTAATTTTAAAAAAAATGAACATACTTTAAATTTTAATACTACAATGGATTTTATTTATTTATTTTTATTTACTTTCTTTTTAGTACACATAATTAACAACCAAAGCATACTAATCACAATAATTTTAATATTTTTTTTCTTATTTTATCATAAAAAATCACATTAACCAAAGAAATAATTCTACCTTGTCTATTAGAATATAATTTCTGAAGTCCTTCTTTAGCTCTTCAAGAGTGAAAATTTCCATATCAAATAGAAATATCAACAAATATAATATAACACTCTTATTATTTCTACCCTATGTTACAAAGACAAGGAACACCTTCTTGTAGAAGCTTGACCTCACTCAAACCACATAATTTTTTTTCTTTTTTTGTAATGCAATGAGTAACCATGTAATAGTGGCACCAATAAAGTTCTTCCAAAAATCAAAAGTTAAAGGTCGTCTCTCACCTTCAAGCAGCCTCCATTCATCGCAATGGCGGCGTGTTTTCAGAGTCGAGAGGCGTGGTGGCGCCAACAGTTCCCGCAACAATCAATCAATCAATCAATCAAGATGTGATCGAGGTTCGTGAAAGAGGAGTGGAATGGGATGGGTGGGGTGTCTTCTTTGGATTCTATTGTTGAAGCGAATAAGGCGCTAGAAATCGAAAGCATTGGGGAATTGTGGCTGAGAAGGGGATTTTTGTTTCGTTGGTCGCGAACATGCTAACTTCACCCACGCACGCGGTTCCGATACACTTCGACCTGCTCACGGACACTGTGCATTTTTAGCGATGCTCGGTCTGAAGCGTAGCTGACTTGCTTGCAATGGGTTTAACTTAACGATATGTGGGTTAGGATGTCTCTTCACGGAGCCATTCGATTCCTGCCTCATGGATTCAAGGAGGCATCCAACTCTGCGTGGACTGGTTGCCAGATGTACGACCCTTCATGTTCAGGAGTTTGGGCGACTGTTAGCCCTGGCGTCCGTCGAGATCTGATATTCACGCCCCTTTGCATTTGCATGCATTTCATCGATGCCTCCGGAGCCCGTTTCTGCAACAGTTTTTTCTCTAATTAGATTTCGCAGTGTGATTCGTTATGGGCATCGTGCAGGGCGGAGCTGTGGCCCAGGCCGCGGTTGCTCGAAATCTAGAATTTAGAGTGGTGGAGAGGACAGCCGATGCTCCGAGGAATCTATTTCATTATGTTCTATCATCAATATAGTTCACAGCCTGTTTGATGTGAGTTTTAGGATTCCACTCTCAGGTCAGAACTTCTCGTTCCTCCCTGGCTTCATGATGCATTAATGGCTTTAGAAAGTGAATGTACGGTACGTGGTGCCTCTGTTTGTGGCATGATTGAGTTCCTTACGCACTTGAAGATTTGGCAGGCGTGGCTTTTGTGAATGCTGATCTTGCATGCCTGCTTATCATTGCAGAATGGAATGACCTGAGTCTGCTGCTAGAAATCTTGTGTGCTCGCAATGATTTGGTTGAAACGTATAACAGTTAGGAAACACTCTTATAGAGATTGTCTGGACATTGTGGAGCGTCGGTGGAGATGTGCTAGCATCACAATTTGGATCTTCCTTTCGTTTGAAATTATTTGAGTAATCTGTCTTGAAATGCCGTAAACTGTGGTCGGCTGAACTGAGAAAACTATGCTGCGATGGTTCGGGGGGACAATTCTGTCTAACCGTGGTCAGGCTGTAAGAAATGCGCAGGTTTAGAGGAAACTGGAACGATGGGGAACAAACAACCTTGTGACAACCGAATCCACACACCGTACAGTGAGATGGTCGGCGATGCAATCTCAGCTCTGAAGGACCGCCCAGGCTCCACACAGAGTGACATCTTCAACTATCTCGAGACAAAATACCGGGGAAAGATTTCTCCAATAGTGAAGAAAAGCCTCAAAACTGTCATAAGGTCCATCATCAAGACTAAGAAGGGGCAGAGGAGACGCGGCAGGGTCCAGCTAGCGAAGAATACTGACCGAAGAGTTAGATTTAAAGCTAAGGCGGGTCCACGCAAACGTCGGCGAAAATGCACTCAGAAAACCGACAGGGCTCCAAAACTGAAAGCGAAAAAACTTGCCCGACCCAAGAACACAAAGACGGCCTCAAAAGATTCCAATTCAAAGAAGCTATCGAAGAAAACTCCCAGGCGAGGCTCAAACTCCAAGCACCCAAAAGTTCCATCACCAAGTGTGGAACTTCGTGAGCCATCTTGCTTCGCATAAGAAATATAAGTTCCGAAACCTGTAAGATTGTTGTACAGTAACTCCCTTCCCACATCTTCAACGCTCATCTCAAAATGTAACTCACACACAAGTTTCGACAGCACGAAAGTGTTAACGTTCACACCAGTGAGCCTGTGCCGTGTCGATAACATCCTACGGTTCCGTGATCAGGATGCGGTGAACAGTTCCGGATCGCCCTAGTCACCATCTCTTCGACGATGCAGGTTGTTTATTCTACGACGGCGTGGAGAAATCTAGATGATGAAGGACGTCGATGAGCTCAGATTTGATCAGGTTAACAAGTCATGCATGTCGAAGACGAAGGATCAGATTATGTTCGTTCATGTGGGGGTCTGTCATGGAGAAAAAGATCCAATTCAACGGCCAGGATTGTGTTGCCGTATTCATCCTAGTCATGTTTTGAAACTTCACTCTGTCACACATCAGCTTTGTCAAAACTGTTGCAAGAATCTTCCGGAACTTTGTTTGATTTCGCTTCTAGACAGCAATAAAATGAACAGTTTGTGCATATGATGGTTGATTTGTAATATTTTCTTTAAAAATGATACACAGATTCCATTGATTGTTGTTCGTTATGTTTGTAATGCATACGTACTCTGTAATTTTCTTTTTGATATTAGAAAGTAGGGTGTGTAATAGGCCTTGGAAAATAGAAGTGGATGAACAGTGATTGACATATGTAGTGTTAACTACCAATGAAAATAAAATAATTAAGTCACTAAGTCTGCTTAAAGATTTTATATGTAAAGTGACTATAACTTACTCGTGAGTTTTAAATAACTGTGATATTTTTGTTAATAATCAAAGATGTTCAGTGGTCTGACTATGGAAAAGTTAATATTAGTTTAAATTTGATATTGGTTTCAATGGAAATTTTTGATGGTGGAATTAAAAAACATGACATAACAAACTCTTCAAAAACAAGTTACACAATAATTTCAAATTGAAAAAAGAAAAAGTTGAATTATCTTGAAAAAATTCTACAAAAGTAAAATAACTCCATGTATTTCTTAACTTTTCATTGTATCCAAAACTACCTGAATTGTTGAATCAAGTTTACTTAATATTTTCAACTTTGAAAGAATACTATATCTTTTTTTTCTCACTCATCATTATTTTTACACATTATAACTTATTATTTTTTAGTTTTAATTTTTTATTTTTTCAACAATCAAAATGTGGAATTTTATAGTAAGCTAAAGTTACTTATAGTCAATGTTTACTTAAAAATTCTTTTAGATAATACATATTAGGATTATTAATTATATTTAGGGTTTATTTTATTTTTTATTTTTTATTTCTTTTGCGAATAATAATATTTTTTTATTATTAATTGTATTTAAATACTTTGGTTTATATTTTTCAAAGAAGATGCATCTAAAAGGATTACGTCCACAATATAGCTTAACAAATGTTGCTTGTAGAGATGTTTTTTTATTATTGAAAATACCAATAATATAAAAGCCTACTTAATTTATATTAATGAAGCAACAATTCAAATAGAAGAAGTAGACATAAGTTTATTCAAAAAAGTGATTGTATATCATATATTAAAAAATCTTTGTATTAATTATAATATAATTAAGCAAGTTGTTTTAAATAAAAAAGTCACCTTTGTAAATAAAAGTAGAAGCTAGACTTTTGAATACCTTCTAAAGAAGCTTCTTAAAAGCTTTATAGGTGTTGTTTTGACTTTACATATGTTTGTAGTTGATTCATAGGTTAGAAACTTGGTTAACAAGTTAATCACGTATTAGTAGCTTGTAGAATAAGCTAATTATATGGTACATATATAAGAAACTTGCCTTGTAAGTTAAGATACGTATCTTACAAAGTCAACATATTTTGGAGGTCCTATAGGACATTGTCACGTAATCCCTAGTTAAGAGTATATATAGAGACATTAATGAAGCCTTCTTCACTCTTTTCAATGTCTTTCTAGTCTTTGGTCTTGTTCTAAGACTTTTTAGTCTTTTTGTTTTTGACAATAGCCATTCTATTATATTATCTTTGCGTAACTTTCTAGTTCTTTTTAGTAATACATGAGTATATTAAGGATTTTCTTTCCTCAAGATTCATGTCCTTAATAATTTGATAGGAATGCTAATATATTATTTTTGTCTTATTTTAGAAATGAGTGGATTATCCTACTTCTATTATTATATTTTAAAGATTGTAGAGTATCCACCTTTAAACAAAAAATCTTATTTTTTAACACTGATTTTTTTTTAAAGAGAGTAGATTATCCCTCTTTGTAGAATTTTTTTATTAAAAGTTACAGATTATCCTCTTTTAATTTAATTTTTTAAATTTGATTTAGTTGTTTGTAGAAGGAAAAATTATAGATGCTACTCTTAGTAGAAATGTGAATAGATTTGCAACTATTGTAGATCTTCATGAACTTGTCAACACTCTAAGAGTGGAAATCTCACATATTTTTAATGTAAATCATGGAGATACTATGTCTATGCCTATAGAGTTGTGCAGTTGAAGGAAGTAAGTAGATCAACCTCACAACAAAATTCAAAGGCTTTTACTTCTACAAGTATGACAGAGATAAGGATTAGTATGCCTAAGAAGTTTGATGGAATAAGATCAAAATTTTTGCAGATTTTTGTAACAAGTTAAGCTCTATCTAAAGTTGCATCCTTTCTAATACTTTGATAGATTTACTCAAGTTAGATTCAAAGATGCACTTCTATCAAGAAGTGCTCTTTCTTGATTTACACCTTTAATGGAAAAAAATTTGCGACTCTTTTATAATTTGAATTCATTTGTAGAAGTATTTTCGGCCACATTTGGAGGAAGTGATCGAGAAAGAGTAGCAAGGATCAAACTCTTATCTTTATAGTAAGCATGTCACGGCCATAATCATGTAAGCTAATAATTACATATAGAAATAGGTAGAAGTAAATAAAAGTAAGTAAAAGTAAGTTAATTCTATAATATTTAATATGGAAGCTTCCTTGAAACTTCTTAGATGCTGCTTTGACTTCATAGGTGTCTTTAATTGACTTTTTGGATTAGAAACCTGGTCAACAAGTTGGCCATGTGCCACACATGTTGTTAGCTTAAAGATCAAGCTAACTATGTGGCCCACACGTAGAAAAACTTGCCTTGTAAGTCAAGGCATGTGTCCTACAAAGTCAACACATATTGGAGGTCCTATAGAATGTCACCACGTAGCTCTTAGTTAGATAGTATATATAGAGACAAGAGTGAAGGCTTCTTCACTCTTGTCAACTCCTTTCTTGCTTCTAGTCTGTTTCAAGGATCTCTAGTTTTCTTGTCTTTTGGCAATAGCCATTCCAGTTTCTCTTTCAATATATATACTTGTTTATATATATTTTGTTATCTCTCTTTGAGTGAATGCTCACTTGTTTGAATTGTTTTTTCATCGAGTTCTTGTCCTTGACAGATTGACAAGAGTGCACTTACAATATCAGAGCTTTGTTTTTCTTGAGTAAGAGTGGATTACCCCTTTCTCTTGACAAGACATAAGCATATTAGAAGTTTGCGGATTACCCACTTCTAAATTGATATTGTTCTTAGTATCTTCTTTGTTATCAAGTCTTTTCTTTTTTTTTTGTCTTCAGCAATATCAGACAAATTTTTCTTCTTAGTATCATTATGGTAGAGCTTGTTGAAATGAAGAGTGCAATGGCACAAATGCAAGAACAATTGAGGGAGTTAATGCTTGCAATGCATCAACTCAATTCATCAACACACGAAAGAACAAGAATAGCAGAAAGTGGAGATATAGAGATGATTGGAGCTGCTTCAACATCTGCACCAAATCACATTCCTTCTCCAATTGTACAACATCCTGTAAGCACTAGAGAACTAAGAATTGCTTTACCCGAGAAATTTGATGGTACAAGATCAAAGTTTCGAGGGTTCATCAATCAAGTACAATTGGCAATTGAACTTCAACCGCAAAGCTATCCAACTCCAGGATCACAAGTCAGGTTTATTGACACTCTACTTTCAGGTTCAACATTATCGTGGTTTTCGTCTTTTCTTGAACAACAAAATCCAATATGGAATAATTTAGAAGCTTTTTTGGTGGAGTTTCGATCTATGTATGGTAAACACGATGTAACTCGTGTTACAACAAACAAGATCCGAATTCTGCGACAAGGAAATCGCTCTGTAACAATGTATGCTTCACAATTTCGACAACTTGCAATTGACATCAAGTGGGATGATGCTGCACTCATCAGTCAATTTTTTTATGGATTGCAATACGAAGTAAAGAAATTGATGCTCAACTTACGTGATCCTCAAACTTTGAGTCAAGCAATCGATTTTACGGTAAAATGTGACAATCGACTTTTTGAATTTCGATTCGAGAGTCGTACACAGGAACCTCAACGTTATTACTCAATGGCAACATCAGCATCTTCGCCAAACGTACATTCGGAAGTAGAAGACATGTAAATTGACGCGGTACGTTTTAAACCCCTAACTGAGCAAGAAAAGATTCGTCGTCGTCAAGAAGGATTATGTTTATATTGTGGAGAACCTAAGCACACTGCTCAACATTGTCCAAAGAAACGACGCAACTATAAAATGAGGGGTACGGCGGTCAAAGAAGACAACATGTCGGAAAACAGATTCGTCCAGCTACAATAGGGACCGTGCAGCTGGAACCTTGTACAATTCCTAATGAAGGTCCTATCCTCTCCTTAGAACCCTCTTCTTGTTTTATAATAGAATTATATTTAGGACCTAAGAATTACAAAGCCTTTGCTTTATTAGATTCGGGAGCCTCAGCATGTTTTTTAGATGAACAATTGGTTAAAAGTCATAAAATATCTTTTGTACAGAAAACTAAACCTGTACATGTAGAAGTCATTGATGGCCGTCCTTTGTCTTCTGGAGATGTCACTCATGAAACTCGCCCTATAAAAGTAACAATAAACGGTCATGTTAGCTACATAGCTTTTACCATAATTAAATCCCCGTCCAATCCAGTTATTTTAGGTTTATCCTAGCTAGAAAAATATAACCCTCGAATAGATTGGAATTCTCGTAAACTTGACTTTTTCCAAAGCATTATTAATAGTTCTACCAAGCAAGTAAAAAGTTATAAATCTAGTATAGTAAAACCCGTACTTATAGGTGCAAAAGCATTTATATACGCAGCAAAAGAAGGATCAACTTTTGCTATTTATGCTGCACCTACTTTTGAAAGCATAAAGACTTCAAGTGGCATTCCAAGTCAATATCAGGATTATCAAGACGTTTTTGAGAAAAAGAATGCAGATATACTTCAAAGAAGGAACTCAGCCACCATTTGGACCAATTTACAGTTTATCGCAAGATGAGTTGGCTGAACTCAAGACATATATTGACGAGAATTTAGCGAAGAATTTCATACGCCATTCAAAATCTCCAGCAGGAGCTCCAATGCTATTCGTAAAGAAAAAAGATGGATCTTTGCGAATGTGTGTTGACTATCAAGGACTCAACAAGATCACAATCAAGAACAGGTATCCATTATCTTTGATATCAGGACTCCTTGACCAATTGAATCAAGCTAAGATTTATACAAAAATAGATCTAAGAGGAGCATATAATCTAGTACGAATCAAAGAAGGAGATGAATGGAAGACTGCGTTTCGAACCAGGTACGAACATTTCGAATATAATGTCATGCCTTTTGGACTCACAAATGCACCAGCTGCTTTTCAACATCTCATAAATGATGTATTTCATGAATT